TATTGTAGTTGCAGTGCTTAATCATCAAAAATAAGGTGCCAGTGCTGCCTAAAGTAGTCATATAGTCTAAAAAAATTATAAAACTCTCATATTGCTATCATAGCCACAGAGCCTAACTACAACATGGGGTCTGTTAAGAAGAGCTAGACTGGATTGGCTCAGAAAAATATAGATGATACAGATATCAAACCACACTAATATAATCTAAATCAACACACTAATAACCAACTCTATTTGAACACTAATATTGAAAAGCTGAAAGAAGGCGTAAAGAAACTTGGTCTAAGTTATTAGGGCTAAATAGAGTTCGAGACTATGTCATAAAGCTTTAATTTAGGGTCATGGGATTATAAGATTAGGAGTAATTTGTAAAATGTTAAAGTTAAGATAGCAGACTCTTAATTGAGTCAAACTCTATTGAGTTATGCTAACTCTAAGTTTATCTGAGCTCTTAGCTAGCTGCTTGATTGTGAAGTCAAGAGACATTATATTTATAGTTTTATATTCCTATAATAATACAGGTTTGGAAGTTGAATTTATTAGCAAAATGGCATTAATGTCATAAGTGATATTAGAGTTATTAGTAATATTTGTAGAAAAAGTATGATTTATTGATAAAATATTATTAAGAAGCGAAGTGTCATTTGTGGAATTAGTGGCACTAATAATATAAGTAACAGAAAGAGAATAAGTATACTATACTAATGCTAACTAAATTTGGGTAAAATAGTAAAAATCAATCTAAGCCACCTCAGCATTGATCAATCTATTTATTAGTATATCAATTTCTCCAAATTTGTATGTATCTAACCTACTAATAAATTAAAATTTTATTTCTAACTACAATTGACTCTTTTATACCATGCACTCCTATTATAATTGTGGAGCTTAACCACCAAACATAAGAATCTTGCACTGCTTGTAACAGCCATAGAGCCTAATTATAATATGAGGTTCTTACATTACTATCACACTGCTATTGTAGTTATAGTGCCTAATTATCAAGTATGAGGTTCATTACTACTCGTGGCAGTCATAAAGCCAAATCACACAAGATTCTTGCATTGCTATCATATCCACGAAGTCTAATTTCAATATAAGATTCTTGTATGCTATCATAGTTGTAGAGCTTAATTGTCAAGTATAAGATCTTGCACTGCCTATTGCAACTATAGAGTCAAATCACAACATAAGGTCTTTGCAGCTACAGAATTTAATCAAACATAAGGTCCTTGCACTGCTATCTTAGTTATGGTGCTTAATTACCAAACATGATATTCTTGCACTGCCTATAGCAGCTATAGAGCCTAATCACAATGTAAGGTTCTTGCATGCTATTGCAACCATGAAGCCTAATCACAGCATGAATCCTTACACTGCTATTGGAGTTATAGTACTTAATACTAAATATAAGATTCTTATATCCTGCAGCAGCTATAGAGCCTAATCACAACATAGATTCTTGAATTGCTATAGCAGCCACAAAGCCTAATCACAACATAAATTCCTTGTACTGCTATTGTAGTAGCAGTGCTTTATTATCAAACATGAGGTTCTTCACTACCTGTAGCGGCCATTAGGTATATATTCAGTTGCTACAATTATTCATAGTTGATTTTCTAAACACAAATAATTTTTTCTATTTGAGCTTTTAATTAAAGTTCTTCAAAATTACTGTAAATTCTATTCATCTCATCTTATAAGTAGAAAGAATGATACCTTCTCTAGAACAGAATTTAAATTTTGTTAACATTATAACTAGTTATTAGCTGCTAGTTATTAATCAGTTATGACATTAACAAATTTTAAAATTCTTAGTTTAAGAAAAAGTTTTGTTCTTCTCACTTATAAGATGGGATGAACAGAATTTAATTCTGAACAACTTTAATTAAAAGCTCAAAAAAAAAAAAAATCACTCAATATTTGAAAATTGACTATGAATAATTATAGCCATTTGCAACTGAACTCATCCTTAGCAGCAATAGAGCCTAATCATACTATGATGTCCTTGCATTGCTACTGCAGCCACGGAGCCTAATTGCAATTCCAAATTCTAATTCATATAGTAAGTTTTGGACAAGTTCCACAGCTTTAACTAGTTTCAAATAGTTTTTAATTTTCTAGATAGTTCCAAAGTCCCAAACCAATTAGGTTTTGGTAGCAACTATACACATGAGGTTCTTGTACTGCTATCACAGCCATGGAGCCTAATCACAATATGAAGTTCTTGTACTGCATAATACAATATCAGATATAGTATACTCATCTTTAACTCTCTTTAAACAACTCAAGCACCTAGATATGTATTGTATAATTAGTCATAGAAATAGATCAGTCTAAAAAAAACTGAAAGAAGAATCAGTTTTTAGCCAGTCTCACGATTAACCAGTCCCTGGTCTCAAGACCAATCTGAACCAATTTAAAAGTAGAAGCAAACTCTAATTCTTTATTTTATTATTGTTATGCATTAAATAATAAAGTACACTTCTCTGACAAAAGTCACTGCTGTCTGTTATGATCAGTAAACTGATAAAAATTTTCTAACTAATTTTATAAAAAAAAAAATTACTAAGGTTTTTAAATTTTTTTTTTAAAAGTAGCTAAAGTTTTATTATATTTATTTATGTAATTAATATTTTGTAGAATTTCCTCTAGCTTTTTTTATAGCAAGAATATAATTAGACATACTACTAATCAAATTTTGGTAAACAGATTTATCTAGATTATATCACTCTTCTTTCAAAAAGAAAAAGAGCTCAGCCTCACTAGTTGGCAATAGAATATGCCAATGAACTCAATGCTCCAATTCATCCCAAAGGTACTCAGTTGGGTTGAGGTCCGGGCTTTGTACAGGCCACAAAAGATGATCAATCTGATTTTTCTCTAACCATTTTAGTACTATCTGAGCCTGATGGATTGGAATATTGTCATCTTGAAAAGTAAACTTCAAATTAGAATCAAGAATATCTAAATAGGTAATAAATGAGTTTCCAAAAGCTCAACATAATTCCATGATCTTTGTTGGCCATTAATTCAGATCAACGGACCCAAACCATCTGCAGTAAAACATTCCCATACTATCACCCCTCTTCTACCAGACTTAAATATTGGTACAAGACAATTTACATCATATTTTTTATTAGGCAAGTGCCAAACATAACTACAACTATCACCTCTAAATGTTTCAAAATGAGACTTGTCACTCCAAATAATATTATCTCATTCAGAAGTCTAATTCAAACATTCTTTTGCCCAGTTATAATGGATCTTCCAATTTGGTACACTAACATATGGTTTTCTCTTGCCAATATGAGCATAGTAATCTTCTTCATGAAGGTACCATTGTAGAGTATGTTTGGAAACATTCACAAGATCAACTGCAAAAATTCATTTTGCAAAATATTCAAACTAATTTTTTAATCATTTTTGACAATACGAGTTAAGTGACATTTATTATAATTATTTAATATGGGTAGTTTTCTACTCTGAGCAGAAGATTTAAATTTACTAGTTTTTTTATAAAAATAAATTATGTCTTGAACTGTTGTTTTTGCAAAGTTAAGTTGTCTTATGATAGCAGAAACTAGAGAACCACATCTCCAAGCACTGACTATCTGGCTTTGCTCAATTTTAAATAACTCTTTATGTTTTTGCAATATTGAGAAAAACTAACAAATAACTGCAAATTTTTTTTGCATTTTTAAAAACTACAGATCATAAACTATCTAATATATATGTACACACAGTGTAATTTTTAACAATTACACACAAACAGATTTTTAACAAATCTTTTCACTTACCTATCATTGTTAAAAATGATCAACAGCTAGTGACTTTTGTCAAGGGAGTGTACCTTATGCGAGTATCAAATTAATATAGAATTTTATTTTATTTTTTATATTATATAATAATTTATGAAAGATAGTCTAGAATGTAGCAGATAAGTTAAAACTATTGTTCAAAGCTATCATTAATTTAGAAGAGACTATACATGGTTAGAAGGGTCCACACACAACCTACAAAGTAGTGTTCTGCAAAAATAGATCTGTATTTAGGTTGCCATTTTAATTATTGTTAAATATTATATAGAAATTTATTGTAATGGTAATCTAAAGGGTATTAATTAGTAGTAAATAAGTGTTGTAAACATGGATCACTTTTTTAATCCACCAATTAATAGGTTATCTCTATATTCGTTTATTAAATTAAGATGAATAATAGCAAATATACTTATACATTATTTTTTTAATAGGTAAGAAAGTAGCATTTCACTAAGAGTACCAGAACTGAAACTATATGTATAAAATACACTACTAGCAACAGCCTCACTTGTCTCTCACATGCATCTGTAGCCAGTAGCAGTCTTTCAAACTTGTTGCATAAACCAGATCTGGATCTGATCCGAATAGGCAGTTTTGAAAAACCTGCTACTGGAGATAAGATGCTTGTAAGAGACAAATGAAGCCTGTTGCAGGTAGTGTGTTTTTCAGAGTAATTATGTGTACAGTTTAAGTTTTGATATCCTTAGTGAATGCTTCTTTTATACCCATTAAAAATACTGAGCATTTTAGATTAGAACACTACTACAAAGTAAAGTCTGTCTCACATTTTCTATAATTAATAGATCTAGCCCATGTTTATATTGTTATTAAAATTTTTTAATTCCAGCCTGTGTTCATGTAGCATTAAAATTAATCATAAAAGGTCTTGAGTCATTAAATATAATTTGATTTGTATTATAATAAATAATATATTTAATATATAAAAAGCCTAATGCTTCAATAAAAAAAATATTCAATCTTTTGATTACAAAATATATCATTAAATTATGTTTTAATTTTTTTTCTTATAATAAATTATGATTTAATCATTATATGTATAATGTGATTACAAAAATTATAAATCTTTTTTTTTTTTGACTTCATTTATTCTTCTCTTTTAATTCGTAATAGTTATAAATCTTTTTTTTATCAAGTTCTTATCTTTACTTAAGAAATGATATGGATATTGATTCTTCAGATTTTGTAATTAATCAGGAAAATGATAATAAAACCTGTGAATATCAAGAAAATGAATCAACAACAAGCACTCATTCAGATGAAGATGAAGATGAAGATGTTATTGATTCATAGTCCCAACAAAAAAGAAGAAAACCCTTAACTATGTGGAAATATTTTAATAAACTTCGTTCTAAAAAGAGGATGTATAAAAAATACAAAACAAAATATAGAAAAAGGACTGGTGTCTCAACATTAAGGCAACATCTATTATTGCATAATATTATTATGCCAACACAGCAACAAAACAAACCTGAGTATAAAAATCATTATACTCTCTATTCAGCAGAAGAATAGCAGAAGTGTGATGATGCAGTAACAAAATGGATATTATGTGATTTGCAGCCTTTTACTATTATTGAATATAAAGAATAGCAAGATATAATAAAAAAATTTGATCTATATTATCAATTTCATAATCATTATTCAAAAAAGGATCAAATTATGACTCTATATGAAAATAAAAAAGAAAAAGTAAAATTAGTGCTTTTACAAATTCTTGAAAAAATATCATTCACCTCTGATATGTGGACTATATTGAATGGTAATGTATTTCTTAATTTGACGATTCATTATGTCAATTCTTCTTGGAAATTAAATAGTTTTCTTTTGGACATAATTCTAATAGAGGTGTGCTATACAGGGTTCAATATAACTAATACTATAATGAATGTTCTTTGTGAATTCAATCTGGTATTTATTAGAATAAATAAAATTATTATACTTTAAGATTACACAAAGTCAATTTTAATTTTGCATAACCTGGTGTTCCAAAATTATGTTAGCAGATTAGATTTCTTTTTTCTAATCTACTTAAATTAATAAACTCATGTTTATATTGAAGTTTGTATAATATAGAATTAAAAAATTAGATTATTAATTTTCTTTTTTTCTTACTGGTTCTATTAAATAATTCATTTTTTCTTGCTGTAATAAAAGGCTCATTATTAAATTACTACATTTTTTTAAATAATCATTTAATATTGAATTAATATAAAATTTAAAAATTTTTATCTTGTTATATCCAAAGATTATTATAATATAGAAATGTTCATTATAAAGAAAGTTAACTATACTTGATAAATATATAGTAAAAAAAAAAATCAATAGCAAAAATAAAATAATTAGTGCAAATTTAAAATTTAAAAAAAAAAATTTAAAAAAATAAGTTAATAGGTTATACAAAATGAAAAATCAGCTTTGTGTGTCTAATAATAAGTATTATGCTTACTTCTTTTAAAAAAATTCTTGTATTTATCTTTAGACAAAAAAACTTTAGCCCTCACTACTAATAATGCTTCATTGATGATTGTCTGTAGTAAATTAATAGCTGAAGAACTTGAAAGAGAATTTGATGATCTTGAGTTTTTACACTATAGATATGTGGCTTATATCTTAAATTTTGTAGTTAATCAGGGGGTTGAATATGTAGACAAATCAATTGCAAAAGTAAGAGCATTGATGATATACTTAGATCATCGAAACTAACAAATAATACTCTAAAAGGGTTTTGTAATGTTAAAAGAATCACCTACCTAGTAATGAAATTGATACTAAGACTAGATGGAAATCCACCTTCTATATGCTTAGAAAGTGAAAAAAATTAGAATCTGCATTAAATTTGCTTGTGGCTGATAATCAAACGGTTAGAGAAAAATATTTGAATACTAATGAACTTAATAGCATTAATATAAATATAAGTTTCATTTATTATTATTTTAAAACCATATATATATATATACACTACTATTTTTTTTTTTAATAAAAAACAAAAGAATATAATAATTCTTTTTAAACTAATAGAACATGCTACTTGCTTTTTATCTGCTTCAAATTGCCCAACATATGGTAATGTTCAAATCATTGTGCTTAGCATTCAGAAATATTTAGCTCAGCACAAAAATAATACTAGTTTCTCAACAACTCATATAGCTAGTGTGATGTATCAAATACTGAAAAGCTATTGGTTGATACTTGATGAATCATTTCAAAACTCAGCATTTCTTGATCCATAGGTAAAGATATCTGCATTTAGAACCAAATATGAAAAAAAGAAAATAATTGATTTAATCTCAGAATTAAATGAATATTTATCTGAAACATCACAGCAGACAACTCTCAATGATAATTTGACTAATGATAGAAATTATTTCTAAACTTATATGCTCTTGAAACATTCTTTTCTTCTTCATATAATGTACTTTCAAACTATATACATGAAGAAATCATAAGATATCCTGCTATACTTTTGCTTAGCCACATTGATCCTTTGTGTTGGTAGCAAACCCAACATCATGAAAACCCAATTCTAAGTATTATCGCTCATGATTATTTATCAATTCAAGCAACAAGTGTTGCTTCAGAATAAGCATTTTCAATTGCTAGTAAAATGATTACAGATAAAAGGAATAATCTGAATGGAGAGATGGTGAGAGCAATTCTTTGTTTGAAAAGTTGGATTCGCAAAGAAGTATGCTAAAATATTCTCAAAAAAAAAATTAATATGCTAGTGTTTTCAAAAAAAAAAAAAATAAACAAATAGTTTACAAAAATTGAACTGGTGGAAAGTTTTTCTTCTAGATCAAATTTGTTAAAACGTCACACCTTTTGAAATTTATTCAATGTTTTTCAACTATTTCTTTTGCTACAGAAAATTATAAAACTTAATATTAATAAATAAATAAGTTCTATATTCAATAATTGCTACATTATATAGGATTAAAATTTGCTTGAAGACAATAAACATTCAAGATAGCAGTTTTGAAATATATTTTTTTTTATTAAATAATTTTTGCTTGTTACAAAATTGATACTTATCAATAAAAAAAAACTTCTAACTATAATAATGTTGATCTTGGTTTTAAACTTCATGGTATAGAAAAATAAAGTGTGTGGGAAAAGAATCAAACAAGAGAATCAAACGAGAGAATCAAATCAAAAATGAGATTCAACTGATAAATTGATTAATTTCAATTACATGTTACTCAAATTTTGGACTGGTTTTGGAACTGATTTTGGAACCAGTTTTGGAACCAGAACCAGACCAAAAAGCATTAATAGACCAGTCTTATTAGAGACCAGGACAGACCAGATCAGACTGATCTATTCCTAATCAGTCATTTGCTATAGCTGATCAGATGACTGAGATTGCAATAAATACATGAATGTGTAACATAAAATGTAAAGGAATAGTTTATATGCGCGAAAATTGATATCTATTATGCTAATTTTTGAAAAATCCTTTTTTAGTAGAAGTAATGATTTCATTTATTCATTTTTGGCAGAAGTTAAGATTTATATATATATATATATGATATGTATAACTCTATATGTAGATTACATGCAAATAATGCTATATATTAGTGATTACAAACAATATAAAAAACTTTTTGTTTTATTAGGCTCTCTATATTCTCATTTAATATATATAATAAGCGAGTATAGAGATCTAGGCTATTTGGACATAGCACTTATAAATTCACCTATACATAATTGTATTGGTCCTGTGTAGCATTGTATAATGTGCAGCTATCTTATAAATAATATATCAAATCAATAATTTGATATTGTTTTATTCTCGCTATACTTCAGAAATTAAAATAAAAAAATATATATTATTATGCTAAAGAGTACATTATAATGAACTCGGCAAATATAATTTGATTTATGTGAGTTTGTTAATACAAGAGTTATTGCAGCTTGAATTTTACTATTAAATTATCATGTACACTATACAAGTTATAGCATTGTGTCTATACATGTAAAAATTATTTTAATATTGATTTTTAGTATAAGATACTTAAATTGTAATCTATTTGTAAATCAGTAAAATCATCTAATTAAGATATATATAGATACGGGGATAATGAAAATACATTTAAGTAATAGTTTTTAGAATCTGTATATTCCTATATTATAATATATAAAAAAAATAACAAAATGAAAAGAATATATTGTTACTTTGATTTTTGCTAGTCATATTATTCAAAATTCACATTACAGGCCTTATTGTCATAATTGGTAGTTATCTCGACAAACAGACAAAACTAATAATATAATTTTACTTTATACTATACGACTTAATATGAAAACACTAATAACTCTTTATAATTTTGACTTTATTATTAAATAGTTGAATCATTATTAGAGTATAGACCAGCACTAGGATATTTGTGTAAATGTAAAGATATTCAAAGTGAAATTTTTTTATCACCTACTAATGCAATTTTAAGTATTTATCAAAAAATAATGAAAACAGTGACAAAATTTTCAGGTCTAGCTATAATGGGATTTGATAACCCAATAATATCTGATATTTTAATTCAAGATCTTCCTTTTCAAGTATATGCATTTATCTTAGAAAAATTATGAGTTTTGATACTTGGTATAGGAAAATCAAATAAACCCAAATGGAACTATGCAAGAACTGGTTATAAAGCTGCTTTTATATATATATCAAAAACAACGATGTATTTTTTTTGAGGAATTTGATGATGAAAAATGCACACTTACAATTTATAATAAACAAATAAAGATTTCAAAAGCTTTTATTAATATTGATTCTAATTTTTTATAGAAACAAGTTAATTGCTTATAACAATATAATGGCAAAGAACTTTTTGGATTAGAAGAAATATATACACAGAATCTTATTCGGTCTATCAAAATACCCACCTGTTTATTAGATAAATGAAACAATAATCAAATAATAGAATGTTTTTATAATTATCATCTAAAATGTAGACTATCAACTCATGTAAATTGGCTTGAATAGTTCAATCAATAGCAAAAAGAAACTTCAACAATTATGAATTACAAACCAGTTTATATACACTATATCCATTTAATCACATTATAAATGATTAGAAATTATGTGCATAGAAAGCTATGTTAAAAGCTATAGGATGTACTGAAATAACGCTATTTAATAAAGATCAATCAGAAGTAAGTAAATAAAAATTCAATAATCAGCCAATTATAGTATTTAACTTTTGGCTATTAATTAAAATTTATTTTGATACTTTAGTTTACATTTTGGTCAAGATCGTATAATCCTGAAATTGACAAAACTAATTTAGAATTATCATATAAGCAGAGTTTTTTAAATCCAATACTATCTAATTTTAAAAATCATAACTCAACTTTCTGAGAATACTTTCATTAAACATTAGACAAAAACAAGCATAGTTTTAATGAAAAAACACAATACTATCCATTATTGCTGATAATTTTACCTATGATAATATTAATACTAATCTAAATGTAAGTAATTATTTATCAAATTTATGCAAATACTATACTGTTCTGAAAATAAACACTATCCTCTCTACCTAATTTTTTAATTTCAGATTAGTGAAATTGTAATAAGATCTTTGGCCAAATTTCTTTTGCTAATCTGAGATTAAAAAAGTTGGAGTAGAGGGGTAGTGCTTATTTTCGAAATAGTATAGTAACTGATATAAAATTACTTGCCAAAATTATAGAATTTTAGTATATTGGAATATTAAAACTGGTTTTAGCATTTTATCATGCTGAACATCATAATTTTGGCAAAATTCAAGATCTGCCTTTAATTAATTCGATACTTGAATAATATCTTAATCACTAATTATATAATGTTAGTTTAAAAATGTTTTTAACATAACTATTTTATAATTCTAATTGCTAATTATTAGGGCTCTGCAAATGCCCATGCCAGGCAAATTGGCATCGTGCCAGGCATAGGCATCTTGTGCCATGCCTATACAAAAGGCATAAAAATGCCAGGCATAATTATAGGCACAGGCATTAAAGTGCTGGCATAAATGTTCCAAAACAAGGCATTTCATGCCTGTGCTTAAATAGTAATTGGCATTTTCATGCCATATAATATTTAAAAAAGTAGATAATATTTTTATGCCAGGCATATCATGCCCATGTCAAAAAAAGTACTAGGCACTTTATGCCCATGCCTAAAAGGTGCCGGCACTTGGCAATAAAGTGAATCTGACCGAACTAATAGAATAGGGATAAAAATTGTATTAATGCAAGGGCAAATATTATCTTGATTAAATATTTGATATTTCAACGATCACAAATTGGGTATTAAGATACTGTATACGTATTATGGTACGTACGTACGTACAAACTCTTATTATCACAGATTTTTTTTTTCTCTTTTTGTACATTATTATGTAAGCACAACAATTCTAAATTAAAACTTAGCCAACCACAACTTGTAAATCATAACTAAATTAAAACTTAACCAACGTCTATATTTATTCGAAATCTTTAAAATTCTCCAGGAATCGAAAATCTACTAGGATCGGCTGATTTTTTGACATCTTGATCTGTAGAGGTCACACCTTTTTGCAAACCGCCATAAAACTTAGCCAACCACGAATAATCATAATTGCATGATAATACGTATCAATATTAGATCATGCGACGATATTAATTTCTCCCGATATGTGAACAATTAGTAGAACCAATCAGAAGTGTGAGAAATTAGTAAACTCCCAATATCTTATACATAACAGTTACAGACGTTCTATTATGTTTTGAATTGGATGTACCTCTTACGTTATTAATACTAGGCAGGATATATTAAATGATATAAATAAGGCAGTTCGTAAGTTCCAACTTCTAGATAGATAAGCATTATAATTGTACAAAATCAGGAATGAATGAAATGAAAGATAAGGGGATTATTGATTGTATGCACATATACATATCTGTACGTACGCATACGTATAATGGTACATTTTTGGTTAAGGTTCCATATCGATTACGTAGCACCTAATTGTGGAAATCGATTGCAAAATCGATTGTTATTTTTTTAGGGTATACCCCCTAGTATACCCGCATCCCAAAAACAATAGTAAGATTACCTCAATACGCATTACGTATCGGTATCGGTATTGGGATGCAGGATATACCACTAAAAAAATGATACGTAGTCGATTTTACTTTTCACAATTAGGTACTAATCGTATAGGGATACAGAATTTTTGAAAACTGCGATAGTTAATTTATGACTAACCATCTATTAACTTCTGCCCCGCATAACTTAGTGCGCTAGCATTAATTAATATAGTATTTATAAACATAGAAATTTTTAATTAAAATATGCCATTACATAAAGCAAGGGACGGTTAATGTTATTAACTGTTATAAAATTAATCATTTTTTATGATCAATATTTAGAGCACTTCAAGCATAAAATACAGCCTTTCTCATTCATTATCTGGCAATTGTTATGACTCATGAGTGATCTATAACCTGTCTCATGAATCGTCACACTGCAAAGATAATTATCATGTGTGTGCATATTTATTCACAAAATTTGAAATTATTATGTTTTCTTTTTAGTTTGGGCGAAAGCTACGGGCACAACATTCACGTGCTTATGTGCACAGCAGTGACCAGCACTACTTACCCTAACGCTAACTCTAATCCTAACCCTAGCCAAATGCTGTGCACATAAGTCACGTGAATGCTGTGCCCGTAGCTTTTCCTTTAGTTTGTATCTCTTATTTCACGTGCATTCTGACTTACCATTGTTTTTGGGATGCAGGATATACCATTAAAAAATTATAATCGATTTTTACAATCGATTTTCACAGTTAGGTACTAATCGTATAGGGATACAGAATTTTTGAAAACTGCGATAATTGATTTGTGACTATCTATTAACTTCTGCCCCGCATAATTTAGTGTGCTAGCATTAATTAATATAATGTTTATGAACATAGAAATTTTTAATTAAAACATGCCATTACATAAAGCAAGGGACGGTTAATGTTATTAACTGTTATAAAATTAATCATTTTTTATGATCAATATTTAGAGCACTTCAAGCATAAAATACAGCCTTTCTCATTCATTATCTGGCAATTGTTATTACTCATGAGTGATCTATAATCTATCTCATGAATCGTCACACTGCAAAGATAATAACTTATTTTGTAAATTCCGGGTTTTGACTTATTATTACTATTATATAATAAAATTTGAATATTTATTAATAAGAATAAAATCAACAATTGCCCATCTTTAATATTTAGTAAGCGATTGTGTCAAACTAGTATTCATAAGATAAATGTTAAAGCTAAATAATAAATAAAGCTCATCTAAATACGAAAATTTTTAATATAAAATGGCCAAAAAAGGCCTGTAAGAAGAAAAAATTAATTCGTTCTATACATAATTTTTTGCTTATATATTTTTTACCTTCTTGCCTATAAACTTTCTTGACTTACATTGCTTTTTATAGTTCTTTCACCGCTTTCTTGTGTCGCATCGCTTTTCTTATCTTTTTAGTGCTTTCTCTGTCTTCTTGACTTTCGTCGCCTTTTCTTTCTTACCTTATAGTGCTTTTTCTTAATTTTCTTGTACGACATTGCTTTTTCTATTTCCTGCCTTCTTATACTACATCACTTTTCTATCTCATAGCGCTTTTTCTGTCTTCTTGACTTACGTCGTCCTTCTTAAGTGCTTTCTTTCTATCTTCTTATACTACTTCACTTTTTCGATCTTATAGTACTTTCTCTGTCTTCTTAACTAATATCACCTTTTCTATCTTACCTTATATTGCTTTCTCTTTTTTACCTTGCGGTGCTTTTTCTATCTTTTCCCTTTATATTACCTTTTTTTTTTTTATCTTGCTATGGAAAATTTGATTTCTGACGATTCCGCTTCTAATGCCTCAACATCTAATAATAACGAAATAGTAGTAATCGGCGATATATATAATACTAAGGATAATTGGATAGTGGTAGAAGATAATAATAATAATAAATTTTGGAAATGCATGCATTGCCAAAAAAAGACTTATGCGATAAAAACCAGTAGAACGCATTTAAAAAAACATACCTTATCATGTTTTAATTCTCCACTAAACGAAACTCGGACTGAGGAGCTCAAACCAACTACTAAAGAAGATGTAGATAATTCAATAATGGACATGGTTATTGCAACAGGAGCGTCGTTCAATATTCTTAATAATCCATCATTTCGTAAAATGGTTAGAAATCTTCGCTATGTTACACCTTCATATAAAATCCCACATTCAACTACAATATCCCGACATATTACCGGCAATATATTTGACTTGAGATTAAAATTTATTAAAGATGTTTTGGCCAAAACTTCTGGACAAATTTCACTCACGTGTGACGGTTGGCACTCAACCGTCCATAAGTGTCATTATACTGTTATCACAGGATCCTGGATCAGCGATGATTGGAAAATAGTTAATATTGTTCTAAGCTTTCAAAAGTCGGGACAAACAGCGAAAGAGATAACATCAGAAATAATGAACACATTAAAAAATTACTCCATTGAAAAAAAAATATTTGCACTTACTATGGACAATACTACTACGAATAAAGCAGTAAATCGACTGCTCCAAAATGAGTTGCCAGATACAGAATTAATTTCAATAGGATGCATGTGCCACATTCTTAACTTAATTGTTAAAGAGGGTTTGAAAGAAATTAGTATATTACATAAAGAGGTCCATAAAGTCATGAAATTCTTAGCTAATCCCCTTGCCAGTAATAGAATAGAAGTATTAGAATCGCATTGTAGAATTTCTGGAATAAACTTTTTGAAGCCTATTCTTGAAATTGATACGCGTTGGAACTCCACACTAGCGATGTTCGAGAGATACCTTCACCTGCATCCAGCCATTCAAGAAATGTGTTCTAAAGAACCATCAATGCCCACTTGTTTGGACAATGAAAGCCTAATAGTTCTCGAGTCCTTCTGCCAGCTTCTGAAACCATTTGAAATTGCCACGTCAGTTCTTTCGAAAGAACAGTCGAATTCAATTTCTGACGCACTAACGGTTATATTGGAAATTGAACAACACATTAATAAATTTAAGAATAATAATATTAATAATAAATCAATGATTAAAAAATTTGAAAAATATTGGAAATCTATCCTCGATCATGTCATAATTGCCCATGTGCTTGATCCAAGATATAAGTTTGAGCACTTAAAAGCAACACTTATTGAAGTTGGTGGATATAAAGATAGTGACGCAGAAATATTTGTCAACGATATTCGCAAAAAAGTTCATTCATATGGAATGAAATATTCCAGCACAAGTATTTCAGATTATGTTGAAATTGATGATAACAATGAAAATAATTCTACGTCCAATTCCTTATTTCCTATAAGAAGAACTTCAAAAAGACGAAAACGAGTAGATACAGTCGAATATGAATTAGAACTATATGAAAGTGAATCTCTTGGAGATTTAAAAAATAATGGAATAAAACTTTGGGAATTATTGTCACCACGATTCCCAATACTTAGCAAAATGGCACGCGATTTTCTAAGCATTAAACCCTCAGGTGTTTCAAGTGAAAGGGCATTCTCAAGAGCTGGTTTCACAGTTACTAACGATAGAGCAAGTCTTTGTGAGGCAACTGTTTCATGCACAATACTTATGCACTCGTGGCTAATGGAAAGCCTAAATAAGTCTAGCCCTCTTAACTTTATTCCCTAAATAGAAATGTTATTACAGTATTATTGAATCATATGTTATTTGTACTACAGAAAGTTTATTGTCACGTGATACAGGTCATTTATATAAAATAATGTCGTACATTTTTTTTTTGTCTTTTTTACTCTTTCATGTCCAAGAATGTTCAAGAATATTAAGTATATAGAAAATTTTTAATATTTGATTGTTATCGTTATATAAATTAGAATAAAATTTTGTACTTAATATATTGAGTCAAATTATATACGGTTACCCCGTTAATATCAAACTTCCCATTAATATCAACCTCTTAGTAAGAAAAAATAGGCACATGCTATATAAAAACTATCCCTCTGTTGTCAACCCTCGCATATATCAACATAATTGTCTAATCCAAATGGGTTGAATTAACGGGGATAACCTTGTATTATATTAAAAGTTTGGTTAGATTTTTTTTTTATTTGATATGTTTAACCTTATCATCATTAATTAGAAGCGATGCAGATAATGCCAGTAAGTAATATACAAATTATTTACTTTAAAGTTTAACTTTAAAGCGAAACAAACAAAACCATAGCAACATTATAAGGTTGTGATTAGACTCTCGCAGGTGGGTAATTCAACAGTAAATTAAATATGATAATTTCATACTTTCAACACAGTAATGGAAGAAGATGACTAAAGAACAAGAACAAGTTATCGCTATTGAAGTAATTAAGATTGTTTACAAGAGATTCAGTTATCCTATCTCTGTATGTAATATATATTTGTGCCTTCATAGTTCTATATAAAGCTTTCTTTTGAGCAGCCGAGTGGCAGAAAAGAAGCTTCGTTTTTATGTAAAGATATTAGATACACCATAACTGTAAGCATATACTATATGGACAAAAGGTCAGACCATTAATATCAGGATAAAATATACAAGTTTACTATGAGCTTTCAGACTAAATTGGTTATTTATACTTACGGCTATTTCATTGAATGTTAATTGGTTTAAAGCCGCGAAACTAACAATATCAGCAAATGAATTAGGCTTGGTATAAAAACTGAAACAAAAGATTATGATAAGTTATCAAACCAACGATAGTCACAACATTAAGGTTTATTATTAATATTTATATCTTAATCACAATTATGCTTAACTTAGGCAATAATTTAAGATAACATATGCCTTTATTTTGAGAATTTATGATACTATATATTGATATTAATATTGCCAAAAATCAACTGAATTGAATAGTTCTAATGAGATCCTTAAGATTACTTTTACGGAATTGGACTAGAAAAGGACCTTTATAAAATATCAGAAATGAATCAAAAAGTGAGTTAATTTTAATTTGAATTATAATATATTATAATTTAAATATTACCTATAAAAATTTTAATTATTGCAAAATACTGGTAAGAATATAATTAACCTACATGCGATTTCAAGCTTATTGGTTTAATTGGTACAACATGCGATCCCAATATAACGGCACAACGATGGACAGTAGAAATAAGGATATTGATTATCGCATCAGAAAATTTCAACTTAAAGCTTTAAATATAAAGATGCAATCAAAATAAATTCTATTTGATAAAATCATATGAGCAGAAATTTTGGTCGGAGTGCTGCTTTTTGAGAAAATTAGAATTTGCTCCTGAAACTTCGGAACGTTATATAGTTTGTCATGCATGTTGACAAAAAGTCAAGACAGGGAAGAGTGGTCAGGGTTACACGCCATGTGCTACAACCCTGCCCCGATAACACAAGTCGAGGACCGAGATTTCATGCGAACACAACTACATGACGGAGAAGAGACATCAGACCACATCGATTTTTCATGCATAACACAGCTGCGTAACAGAAAGAGACATCAGACCATATCGATTTTTCATGCGTACACAGCTACGCAACAAAAAGCCACGTCCTCAATCAATATAAAAGAAGCGACGAATAAATCAATTCCCAGCAGTCTTCTCTCTTCCCTTACAACACAATCAAGCATTATAACCGTCATTTTCTTGACCCAACCCTTCCCACCGCACACAGAGGAACACTCTCCTGATTCTGCCATTTTCCTATTTAACAGCCGGCCTGCTTCGTGCAGGCGGGAAACCACCGGCTGATGCTGCTTCTCACTCATTCTATTGTTACAATGATACCTGGGCGCAATAATTTTCCTGGGAGCATATCATCGTTTCAGTTCAAATTACTCAGCTCAAATTACTCAATTCAAATTACTCAAATTACTCACAATGTATTCCGCGGACTTAAAGTCCTTTAATTGAATTTATTTCCGGCACCTTTGGCGTGCCGGCATTCTTCCAATCACATGACCAATCGTACCTATGCTTTTCGCTTATGTTACATGCAACAAACACCTCATTTCTGATATTAGTTCTTTGTAAAATGGAATACAAATTTGACAAAAAAGTTTGAATCATATTACTTTGGTAAGTATCCATTGCTATTTTTTAATTCCGAGTAAAGATCTACACTAATTCACCTTTTACCTTATTATTATTTATTTAAATGTTCCACGAGCTTTGCCTTTAAAATATGTATGTGCACTTTCAATTCATCGGTCAGACCATTCTCTATGCCGATAATTACGATTTTAGTTATTTTCACGGTTAGTTTGATGATTCTAAAAATTCTTTCTTGCTAATAGCAGATTAAAAAAATATATAAATATTTTTAATGTAATGTATATAGGGCTTAATAACCCTCAGCGTTCCATTAATATTTAACATTCTCCGTTCTTGTTTTATGGCTAATAATGTACAAAATACATGTATTCTTGTTATCTTTTGGCGTTCCTAAGTGTAAGTTTATATACAATTGTTTCTCATACTAACTGGTAGCTTTTATAAATTTTGATAAATTTTACAGTTAATTTATCGTAAGTACTTTTTTAACTTTTGAAAAACAATTACATTTTTTCTAGATTCAAGCTCTGTGTAATTTCTCTTAAAAAATGATACGGATATTTACCATTACTATACTTCACATTTTATTCAGTTATTTCATATTAATATAACTCGTGAGTATAAAAAAACATTGGTTAATCGATTACTTTAAATAAGCTACCAAATTTGCAGTAAATTTATCCATACCTATTAGTTATTTAGTTCGCATCAATTATTCAAATTAGTTTATAAATATTTATTATTAATAAATATTTTATTTATTTAAATTATTAGTTAATGATATAAAATTAAATTAAATAATAATTTATGATAAAATAATTATTAGTTAAAATAAGTAACTTAATTAGAGATGGTACCCGTCAAGAAAAATTCTACTTGGGCATTATTAAATTATCCAGTTATCTGGGTAATTTATTATGGCCATATAATAAAAATGTCTACCCAGGTACGTACCATCACTAAATTCAAATTTACTTTCGATTACTTAGACTGTCAAAAAACAACAGGTTTTAGATTTTACTCTGAATTCGGTTCAAAACATACCACGAAAAGTATAGGTACGACTGTTCAAATGACTGGTAAATGCCGACTAGTCAAAGGCACAGGAAATAAATTTAATTAAAGGACCTGAATATATTGTGAGTAATTTTAGCTAAGTAATACAAACTGAAGCGATGATATGAATTAGCGGGATTGTGCCAGGTATCATCGTAACAGTAGAACGAGTGAAAAGCAGCATCAGCCGATGCTTCTGCCTACTCAAGCAGGCCGGCTGTTAAAAAGGAAAATGGCAGTATTAGGAGACTGTTGTGTGGCAGGAAGGGTTAGGTCAAGAATTTGTTTATCCAAGACTATTGTGTTGAAGCATCTTTGTCGGATCCTATATATATCAATTATGATCAGTGGCTTTTCTATTACGTATCTCTGTTTATT